AAGAATGAAATTAATATTGTCTGGTTCCAGATGTCTTGGAAAGGCTTATCAACTTTGCAAGTTAAAAATTGCGAACAGAAGCAACGAAGGGACCAGTGTGTGATTATGAAGAGCCGAGAGAGCGAAGAGACGAAACGGGTAAAAGAGCTCTAGGTGTCTCTTCCCGTTTCAAGGATGATCCGTTTTCAGGAAAAAAATCAAGAGAATTCTCACGCAAAATGATCAAGTTAAAAAGGCAAATAAGAGTCCAAAATAGCAAGGGTGCGGTCAAAAATGAGGATGATTAGTATCAGATCAAAGTAGGATTAGTATGATCAAAGTGTGAGTATATAAAAATTGAGGGAGGAAAGACGGAAACTTGAGGAAAGAAATGAATGAGTGAAATGAAAAAGAGAAAAGGATTAGTAGAAGTGACCTCTGCAAAGGAGACTGAGTATTATTAGACTGAGGAAATCGTTTCTGCAGTCCTTCAGCTGGCTGCACCTATATGGATATCCGGCCATCTTTTTGTAAAGCGTGGTTCTCTAGAGTTGCCTCGGAAATATCGCGCTGGCTTTATTACTCATTCTACTGTTATTCTTATTGCATCTTTTCAACGTTCAATTCCACAAAACCAAGGTCAAAAGTGACAACAAAAGGAAAATATATTTCAGCCGTTAGCTGAAAGGAGTTCTAACCATTGATGAGGAATGGAAAAGAAATGGTACAGGAAAATACGGACCATCTACTCTTTACGTTCTTTATTCTTAAAGAAAATATCTTTTTATGAATCATTTATAGATTTGAGAGTGCCATCCATGGAATGTTTACCCATGGGAACCCTTGAAAATCACCATTGAAAACCGGACGTTTGAGGGCGGGAAGTTAGAAAAACGCTTTCCAGTGGTCGGCACGCAATTTACGGTTCCACAACTTTTAGAGACAGGAACATCTTTTGGGAAAAGTGCCCGAGACAACAATTTCATTAGAAAGCGTGTGTTTGTGAGGGGATAAGTGAAGTAGTGCAAGGAGTGAGTGAATGCGCCGAACTTTTTAAAGGACACTACAAATTTGCGTTGAATGTTGACGAAATTGAACCTCTATTATTAGACGCAGGACCCTCTTAGCACTCTAAGTTTTGTTTGAAAACAAAGTTCATTTACAAGTTTACTTATGTGTTTTTTTGCACTCTTTGAGTGCCTAGTGCTAATCTTCATCACAAATCTCAACCACAGAAAAAGAGCAAATATTTCCTACATGGGAGAATTAACCCGACTCTTCGAGTACATCATTTCTTCCCCAAATGACCTCAAAAGTCCCTATAATAAAGATATGTTAACTCATAGCCGTTATCAAGCTGGGCAATGCGTGCCTAATTTAAAAAAATTTAAAAAAGCATGGTTTGCTCTTTGATAAATATTGTTCATGTCTTTAGGACTGTTTGTAGGACCGAAAAAGTCTACAGTTTCTAACACAACCTTAGAAACGATTTAGAAACAAAACTAAAGAATGTTTGCAGGATCTAAATGCGAATTCAAAAGCCCAAAAAGCGAAAATTTGTTGAAGTAGCACTAAAGCAAAACTGGTTCAAAACCATGGGCGCAAAAAGCTATCGTAACCTCGTCGTCTTTAGCTAGCCAAATCAAACCTAATTTCGATCTATCTCGCCCCATGTTTCTGAAACTCTATAGAGATCGGTTTGAATTTGAATTAGTTTTTCTCGACACTGGTTTATGCTAAAATTTAGTCAGGTCAGGTCCCCATAGTCAAAACCCATCGATTGACAAAGGGAAAGGCAAGAGGAGCAGCCTCGTTTTTCCCATAATAAGCTTGACCTCGAGGCGGCGCATTCAACAAACTTTTCCTTATCATTCAAAGACGGCACCCCCGTCCCACAGAATTTCCGGATATCAGTCAAGGCTTACATTGAGGGAAAAAGCCTCTTTCGGGACGGATGAGACGCGGCTCATTTTACGGCCGCCTCCTCCTCTTATTTCTCTCACCAAATAAGGTCAAAAGTGCTACCGGAGGCTGGTACTAAACTGGAAAAAGAGATTAAAAATCCCGGAAGCACATTCTTTAAAATCATCTAATAGTGGCGTCTGGGGGTGGGAAATGACGCGAGTAACGATCCAGGTTTTAAAATTTGATGACGAGGGAAAACTTCTAAAAACCCAAATCGCTGAAATGAATGAACATAATGAACATATAGTCGGATTTTCAGATTTTCCCAAGAAAGATTTTCCCATCAATATGGATCCAAATAGTCATGGTTATAGGTTTTAGAGAAGAGAAAAATGACTCAGGGGCTTTTTAGAGTAAAAAAGAAAAGAAAAACCATGGATGAAAAACTATAAGAGAAAGTATGGATGGACATAAGGATTCTCTTTAGGCTGTAGGGGCAAAAGGTGATCACAAAAACTTGCGGAATGTAAAAGAAAAGAAAAAGAAAGGAATAGACAATGATGGGGAAAGTAAAAAATAGAACAATCGGTGAAAGAGAATCGGTGGTGGATGATCGGGAATAATAATTGGGGAGGAAAGCAAGTAGAAGCGTGAGAAATCATGGTAAAGCTTTTTGGGGAGAGAATATTAGTTTCAGGATGAATTCTTGAAGAAAATTAGAAAGGAAACAAAATTGGCAAATATTTCTAACTGTAAGCCACCGAGAGACTAGGGAATGTCTTTGTTTCGAGTTATTGACCATTTCTATGCGGATTGATTCAAAATATTCCGTTGAATGAGCTGAAAGCTTTAAAAACTTCCCATTTATGGACAAGTCGTTCAATTTTTGTTTTGTTTCTCTTAATTTCCGGTTTTTGGCCGATTTTTCTTGTGGACTTGTGATTCACCTTCACCACAAATTCCCTTCATTTCCCTCCCTTACCCCGTTTTCTTTCAGTCTTCGAAGACTGAAAGATTCTGAAGGAAATCGAGAGAAAAACACAAAAAGTTGATTGGGAACCATCTCCTTGGAGGATTTTTGAAAAAGACAGCTTTGTCAGCTCCAAAAACTCAACACATAAAGAGAAACAATATTTTAAAGAGACATAAAAAGGAGTAACGGCAAAAATGGTGTAAAACATTGTAAAACAATTCGTCTAAAAATATCTTGACATTTATTTTAAAAAAGTGCATTTCGATTTGAGGCGATTCTCATCATTTTCTTTTTCTCATTTCCCCAAAGTGGACCACCGGCTATGAAACAATTGTTCGAAAATGATTGTAATTGAGACGAGAAAAGGGAAAGCTTAAGAGAAGGGTGGCTTAAGAAAGAAATGGCCAACTGACCCATGTCTGTCAAAAAGAAAGTAAAGTGAATATCCAGATGGAAAGGAAAATTGAGTCAAAAAAGGACCGGAAAAGATGGGAAAAGAATGGGAAAGAATGGGAAGGATTCCTCCAGTCACATCCAAAAGAACACCAAGAATTCAATGAAATCTTAATTGATGAAAGACAATCTGCTGTGCGAAGAGAAGAAAAAAAGAAATGGGTTGTTGGGACACAAAGTCTCAATGAAGATAGGGGTTAAACCAAATGAAAATGAAGGGAAGATAGAGATTGATGGATTTGAGTGAATCATAACTTCTCTCTAATAGTAGCGCGCACTACTATTTTTTCAACCCGCTCCTGGACCGCAATTAGAGAGTGCAATACTATTAAAGAGTTTTATCAATTGCCAAAGTAAGACAGATATAAGATTTGTTGACATTAGCGAGTTGACAATTTGTGTCTTGACATGAATAAGTTTAGCCATCCCTCCGATGCCGAAAATTCCTCGTCATCTTTCCTTGGCTTGGCATTGAATCATTTTTCGTGTCACTCGCATCTTCTTTGCCCGCATTTTTTGAATCCAAGTAACAAGATCCTTGTCAAAATCGAAATCCTTCGTTTCTTTCCTTTTCCTGATTCGTTTCTTTCCTTTTCCGTTATCTCCGTTTTGTTTCTCGAGTTCTTCCTTTTGACGACTGACTCCAAATTTTCGCGCTGCAACCGACTTATCCTTTATTTTTTCCGCAAGAGCAATCGCTTTCAGCTTTGTTTGAATGTCGAAACATCGCTTTCTCGCCGGTGGTGCATCCGCTTCACACGAAGACTCCTGGGCGACATCCTTGGTCATGTTGTAGCCAGCATTTTGCTCCGGTCACTTGATTGTCGATCCTCTCTTTCCACATGTTCCTCGTGTTCACGACGAGCTCGAAAGTTTTCGAATCCATCAAGCGAATTTCCATCGAGATCCATACCTAAAGAAAAAGATTATTCAGACAATAGTAAGGTGACCAACAAAAATTATATAATATTAAAGTCGAACATGATGGATTATTTTCTAGGATTGAGCTTTGATAACAATAAAGTTAAGCGCCACAAAAGGTAAGTCAATCTCAAACTTATACAGGTATATAAGAGCAAAAAATAACTATAGCTATAGCTTGAGTTAATGTGCCACTAAAACAACGTGTGGGAACAAAAAAAGATGCTTAGGCACTTTGCACAACAATTTCAGTATTTTGCTAGCTTTTTCAGGTGAAGAATAGTTCACAAATGAATAAAAAAGCCACACAGTTGCTTGCTTGGATAGAATGTCACATAAACATAAAGATATTCAGTCAAAAAGGTTTAGATCAAAAAGAGGCGCTATAAATCCAACTTTTCAAGGGTGCACTACTATTTCAACCCCCTCTCGGACCGCAATACTATTAGAGAGTGCAATACTATTAGAGAGTGCAATACTATTAGAGAGTGCAATACTATTAGAGAGAATACGGTAAATGAAGAACTTTTGTATGCTTACAAAAGCTTATGCTTTGTTGTTTTTATGCTTACAAAACTATTAAAAGATTTATTGAACTGAAACATATGTCAATTGCTGACCAAATGGGATGCTCATCGAATAGTTGGAGAAGTTCTTGTCGACTTGGCAATGCTAGAGGATCAAGGATTTGGAAAAGACGATAATTTTCATTTACAGAATCAGCGGGATTTACTCTATTGAAAAATCGAGCCAGGACATCTTTCATTAAAAATTTCAGAAAAATATAAGAAGGCACAACCAGGTAAAAATTTTTTGGGCATTTTTCGCGTCCATTGAAAAGAGAAAACCCGCTTTCGAAAGTGCACTTTTATCAGAACTTTCTTTCGCCCATTTTCTTTTACTGATTCCCTCAAAATTTTAATTGATTCTAAGGAAACAAACAGCTGATTTTGAGCAAAAAAGTTAGGTGTTTGTTGTTTTTAATAAAAAATATGAACGAAACTTTTAGGGAACATGGAATGCTCGACTTGATTCTCGCCATTTCTCGACATTAGGGGACGACCGGTGCGGAAAAGGGCATGGCAGGGTTTGAGGTTTGAGTTCTAACATCAGGAAAGATTTTTAACTGGATTCTAGCATCAGGAAAGGTTTTTAACTGGATTCTGGAATTTTTGGAATTTTTGCCTGAATCAGAAAACTTACGAGCCTATAAATTTAGAAAGGAGCTTCTGCCGCGGCTCATTAGCATCAAGGGGCATGTTTCGCTGGCAGCCAGAAAGGTAACTTAAAGAAAAAATGGCATTTTATTATTTTTGCAGGCTTCGCATCACATCCATTGGCTGGCCTACTTGGGCGTCTCAATCACGTCGCAGTTGCCACAGGCGATTTGGAGAAAACTGCGAAATTCTACAAAGATCTTGACGCGAAAGTCAGCGCGACTGTGGTATATTTCATTTTATTTCATTTTAACCTCCACAAATTGTTTAGCCACTACCAGAACATGGGGTCTACACGGTTTTCGTTGAGCTGCCGCCCGACACAAAACTTGAACTTTTGTTGCCGCTGGGTGATAAGAGTCCTATTCAGGTTGGCTGACTGAAAAGTCAACACTATTTTTTTCTTTAGGCTTTCTTGAACAAGAATAAGAGTGGTGGTATGCATCACATCTGCATCGGTTAAAGACATCGAAAAAGCACTGAAAAGTGTCAAGTAAGTACAATACTTTGTTGTTTAGCTTTCAAGAAATGTTAAACTTTTACTGCTTTTTGGAACGTTCAGAATCATCTGTCGAGATTTCGAGATTCAATTTTTTTGAATTTTAGACCTCTTGGAATTCGTCCCCTCGATGAGAAGTCAAAAATCGGCGCCCACAACAAACGTTTTTCTTCATCCAAAAGATTGTGGCGGAGTACTGGTCGAATTGGAGCAGGAATAATTTTCATACCTAGTTTATTACGTTTTCTAGGAGAACTTTTTGTTTAAGTTTGGTGTACTTACTTGTGATTTTGCCGATACGGTGAGCTTGCCTTGCATTTTTGCTTTGAACATAGATTTTTATTTTCAGATAAATGGTTTTATACATAGTTTTTTTATTAATATGAAAACGACAAGAAATTTATTATACGGAAATTCTTTAGTCGAAATTTGTATGAGCTGTGAAATATGAAATTTCAGCAACTAAAGCCAACTCCAGAGATAGTTTAAGCAACTCTAAACTCCTAGTTTTTGTAAACTTTTGTATAAGCTTCTGTTATCCATCCATTGGTCATCCATTGTTCATATTATGCTCTAATTTTTGCTTTGAAGGGAGCGTTCCAGGCAACATCTGGCGCTTGGATGTATTTGGTACATCCTCCGGGTACGAGAATCGAATCAAGCGCAGTTCCTGTAGCTTTTTCTTTGTCGCCTCACTTTTGTGCGCCGAGAAATTGTCCCACACGAGCAATCGGTTTTTAAACAACGGAGCAACAATCTTCTGAAGGTAGGCCTTGATCGATGTCTCGTTCACTCAAATAGAACCACCCCAGTTCAACTCCAGCTTGCCTTGAAATTTTGCGATAATGGCCGGATCGGGTCTCACTCGATTTAACAAAACAAAAGGGTTACACTTATAGCCATCATCCCGAGCTGTCAGCATCACTGTAGTACATCACAGCAACTAGCCATTCAAGTTGAGGGTGGCATCTCAGGATAAAGCAGAAAAGGTCCAATTTTATATCATACTACTTATGCCAAGGAAATATTTTCAAAGAGCTTTTTCCTAGGAGTGCAACTAGTAAGGACCCTGCCTTTTCACACCCTGTACCCTTGTCAGTAAGGACCCTTGTACCCTTGTCAATAAGAGCAAGGAGAAATCTTTAGTCAATAAGAGGCAACATTTTCTTTACGAAAGAGTGGAGATCAGATCAAAGAGAGGGGATTGATTGCTCGTAACAGAAAAACGATGAGATGAAGAGAGGGGAAAGGACTAGACCGATCACTCGTTTTACTTTTAGACAAGTGACCATCTGAAAGGGGAAAGAGTGAGAAAAGTCGAGGGGAAACGGAAATGATCTGATGAGAATGCAAAGAAAAAGAAAGGGGATTGGCCGAATCTCTTTTTGCCACTCTCTTCTCTTTTCTACTCGATTTTCTTCTCATTTGTAGATCAGTCAAGGCAGCCCGCTGCCAATTTCTAAAAGAATTAGAAGAAAAGCGGGGATCTTTTTTTGATCTAGAGACATAGTGGCAAGGTCCGAAATAAAAGATCGTTTTTTGCTTTCCATATTTTCTACCCTCTCTTTGATAAATGGCTGATTGATGGGATCTGATTGAAAGCGAAAGAATTTAATCGCATAGCAGGATGTAAATGAGCACACATAACACAATTGTCCGTGGTTGAGGGAAATGGGAATGGGTAAAAAAGAGATTGAAATTGCTAATTTCTCGTTGGATCTATGCAGGTTACAAAAAAGCACTTTTTACATAAATAAAGTCTTAACCAAATTCAGTTAAGCCGTCTGTAAGAAAAAAGATTTCCAAAAAGTTCTAAGCAAAGAAATGGGGACGAATTGACATTCAGAAGATTGAGATTGAGATTGGGGAGATGCTAGCTCTCCCGCCAAAAACTTTTTAACAAAAAAATGAACACCAGCAAAAAAATTTTATAGAAAACAAGGGGACCAAAATTTTATCGTAAGTTCACGCCATTGTGAAAAACAGAAAATTTTTCAGGAAACAACTGTGCTTGTGGGAAACAACTGTGCACAGTTGTGAGTGGAGTGACAGGTAAGTGCTGAAATGTGAATGTGGTGAATAACCCTTTTTCCTTCCTTTTTATATCTTCCTTACCCTTTATATCCTTTTTATCCTTAACCTTAGCAAAACGCTTTGCGGACTTCTGTAAGGCGCAGGCCAATCCGACAGACGTTGCCTTGTTAATTTTTGCAGGTGTTGAACTGCCTCTTGAAGATCCTCAAGCCAGGATTTTCCAAGAGTTGGATGGCCTGTTCTTTCAGAACCGCTCTGCCCTTATATCGACTTCACCTACTCGTTTGAGTTTGGTTTGAGAGGGGATAAGAGAGGGGATTGTTGAGTTGTACTTGAGACATCGATTTGCCCAAGGACAACATAGGATTCATCAACAATTATGATGAACGATCAGAAAAGGCGAAAGCCAGTTGAGCCCGCCGGTGAGGAGACTCAGGAAGCAACTCGACAAAAGCAAAAGGAACACGAGAAAACCCGGGATCGGATGAGGGTTTGGCGCAGTAGTCACAATCACACCAAAATCACTACGAAGACTGCTTTCATCGATTCGAAGATCATTTCCAGGGCCGGTACTCCTCCCGAGCCTGCATTATCGTCACAAAGTGTTTCCGCTGTTTCAATTCTTTTGAGAACTCCAAGCGAGATCATTAGGTCGACCAATTCTTTAACAAACACTGCATCTGAACCAATTTTGGTGAAAAAGTGAAAAAAGAAAGCAAGTCGAGTAAGTTAGCTTTTGGATATGTTATTTAAACAAACTTGAACACTTTTTCACAAGAAGCTTTTTGCTATCTAAAACCTTTTGACAAAAAATGTCACATTTAACTTGACCCTGCTTTTTCCCTTTTACATTTTTTGATTGCATTGCATGCAAATCTAGGAAGATTTGCCAAGAAATGTCATAATTGGCTACGACATATATATGCTTTATTCAGTTGAATAGCGACAAAACAAAATCACAATAATTCTTTTCTTACTTTCATTATGAAAATGGTATAGGAACAAATCAGTGATTAAATAAACCCAACAAAGAAGCCTAAAACAAAAACAAAGACACATATGGCTTCCTCTTGTAGAGCGAATAGTTTTAGCGTTTTAGCGAATCGCGGAACTTGAACCACTCACGCTTTTGCCGAAATCCGGTTTCAGTTTGCGCGCCTCATCACACAAGAAACCGAACCAACCCATCAACGTCTCCATTCCTGAAATAAGAACGTTTGAGCACATTAATAACAGTCTTATTTCAATTTTGTTCACCTAATGTGTTGAATTAATACCTATCTTTCCGGCAAAATTTACCGGCACATATATCGTCCAGTGTTAATGTAGTGGTCTGCTTAGTTTTTGCCTTTTAGTCCAAATTTGGCGTGTCGGCGAAATCTCGAAAATCGTCGAAATTCTGAATCTACGCATACGAGCGCCATAAGAGCGCCTAATGACAATGACGCCTAATGACGGCTCTAGGCATATAAAAATGCTACCTTTTCTACCCCATAAAACGCTATTAGACTGAAATCCTTAGGCAAAACATACCATTTCTTTCTTGGCTCTTCCTCCTGATTGCAAATTCTTTCCATCATTCTTGGCCACGTTCCCCGGGGTCGAGATGCGACTGGTCGAAGCTTTGGGTCTCTGCAAATAATAGCATAAATTAAATTGAGTCTCAGTACTTTTAAGTCGCTTAAAAACCACCTTAACCTCCTTGCCAGATGATGAAAACACGTCGATTGCACTCAAACCCTGCCATGCCCTTTTCCGCACCGGTCGTCCCCTAATGTCGAGAAATGGCGAGAATCAAGTCGAGCATTCCATGTTCCCTAAAAGTTTCGTTCATATTTTTTATTAAAAACAACAAACACCTAACTTTTTTGCTCAAAATCAGCTGTTTGTTTCCTTAGAATCAATTAAAATTTTGAGGGAATCAGTAAAAGAAAATGGGCGAAAGAAAGTTCTGATAAAAGTGCACTTTCGAAAGCGGGTTTTCTCTTTTCAATGGACGCGAAAAATGCCCAAAAAATTTTTACCTGGTTGTGCCTTCTTATATTTTTCTGAAATTTTTAATGAAAGATGTCCTGGCTCGATTTTTCAATAGAGTAAATTCCGCTGATTCTGTAAATGAAAATTATCGTCTTTTCCAAATCCTTGATCCTCTAGCATTGCCAAGTCGACAAGAACTTCTCCAACTATTCGATGAGCATCCCATTTGGTCAGCAATTGACATATGTTTCAGTTCAATAAATCTTTTAATAGTTTTGTAAGCATAAAAACAACAAAGCATAAGCTTTTGTAAGCATACAAAAGTTCTTCATTTACCGTATTCTCTCTAATAGTATTGCACTCTCTAATAGTATTGCACTCTCTAATAGTATTGCACTCTCTAATAGTATTGCGGTCCGAGAGGGGGGTTGGAAATAGTAGTGCACCCTTGAAAAGTTGGATTTATAGCGCCTCTTTTTTGATCTAAAACCTTTTTGACTGAATATCTTTATGTTTATGTGACATTCTATCCAAGCAAGCAACTGTGTGGCTTTTTTATTCATTTGTGAACTATTCTTCACCTGAAAAAGCTAGCAAAAAACTGAAATTGTTGTGCAAAGTGCCTAAGCATCTTTTTTTGTTCCCACACGTTGTTTTAGTGGCACATTAACTCAAGCTATAGCTATAGTTATTTTTTGCTCTTATATACCTGTATAAGTTTGAGATTGACTTACCTTTTGTGGCGCTTAACTTTATTGTTATCAAAGCTCAATCCTAGAAAATAATCCATCATGTTCGACTTTAATATTATATAATTTTTGTTGGTCACCTTACTATTGTCTGAATAATCTTTTTCTTTAGGTATGGATCTCGATGGAAATTCGCTTGATGGATTCGAAAACTTTCGAGCTCGTCGTGAACACGAGGAACATGTGGAAAGAGAGGATCGACAATCAAGTGACCGAGCAAAATGCTGGCTACAACATGACCAAGGATGTCGCCCAGGAGTCTTCGTGTGAAGCGGATGCACCATCGGCGAGAAAGCGATGTTTCGACATTCAAACAAAGCTGAAAGCGATTGCTCTTGCGGAAAAAATAAAGGATAAGTCGGTTGCAGCGCGAAAATTTGGAGTCAGTCGTCAAAAGGAAGAACTCGAGAAACAAAACGGAGATAACGGAAAAGGAAAGAAACGAATCAGGAAAAGG